TGAAGTTCATGCAGATTATAAATATTGAAAGGGTGGGTGGGTGGGTGTGTGTGTGCGCGCGCGCACACACATACTTAAAAATGTCCCCACCTATCATGGATAACTGTGAAAACCAAGGAGGCACAAATCCATGGGAATCTAACTTTCCTATTGACTGGGAGATTTTGGCTTAATACACCTGCCCCATGTTTAATAATTTAAAAATATTATGGGGGAGAATGTTACCAACATATAAATATGATTTTTATCACATACCTGTTTTCCTATTTTTAATGGTGTGTGATCAGGTGACATGCCAGATCACAGGTGGTTGTAAAATAGGTCTACTGTATTTTTTTGGAAAAAAGGGAAGCATCTACATTAGATGCTTACTGAAGAGTTCCCTAATTAGCTCTGCAGTAAAGCGTCACCATCTACATGTGCAGAGCTATTAGACTGAAGTGAATTAATTAACTCCGACACAGGTTAGTACTTGTAAATACACGTACTAGCCTATGATGGAATTATTTACTGCGCCACAACGAACGTACAGACAGTGGTCGGGGCTGACTGGGGCACAAGGGTGCTTCCATGCAGGGGCTACCTGCCAGCTAGCCCTGCACTGAAGCACCTTTGTGCCCCAGTCAGCCCCTCCACAGCACGCTGAACCAGGTTGGAGCAGCCCCAGGCCAGTAGGCTGACCTCCCAGGCCTCCTACCAGCCGGGGCTGCTCCACCCTGGTTCAACATGCTGTGATCGTGGGCACATATGTAAGCACTGTGCTCAGGAGCAATAAACTCCAGGGCAAACTGTGAGTTTATTGCATCACATGAATATTCAAGTGTAGATGTGCCCAGGGAGTGTAAATAATTATATAGGGTCAGAAAGGAGTAAAGTTAGGAGATTTTGGTCTTTTGGACTTTTAAAGCTATGTAACGACTATAACTTGAAAAAAAGATTTGCCTGGTTCCTAGGCACCTGCACTGCTATTGAGTGGATTTTGCTTAATAGTTGTGGAAAATACTAGATGCACCTCAGAAAACAGGGAAGTAGTAATAAACGTAAGCAATGTTTTGCTCATTATTATTGTTTTTGCCTTAGATTCTCACTCTTACCTCAGCCTAATCTGTGGAACTTGTATGAACAACATATGTACAAAGACATGCAATGTGCACACGTGCAGATCCACACACAGAGCTGTGAAGGTAAATTGACAGTGCCATTCCATATTTTCCATGGCAAAGTAACAGTTCACAAATCCCATGGGCAACAAGGCTTGACAACATTACAGCCACAGTTAAAGTTTTTACTCTTAATGTTTTTAAAGGTTTCCCTCTTTTTCTTTTTTGAACATTGGGCTTTACAAGCCCATACATATTTAGGGTATTCTGATGCCCACACTGCCATTTAATCAAGTGGTATGTAAACTATAAAAAAGCACAAAAGGTCTTCTTTTAAATAGTTCTACAAACAGCTCTGAGAAGTAATTCTCTCTCCTGATTGATCAAGAGGAGTCAAAAACCCCACTGTTAAAAAGAGAGTGCTCACTGGGGAAATTGTTTGTTTTATAAAAAATAATTAAATAAAAAGAATTCCAGCACTGATAACCTTGGAAATGGCTGAGATGATGGCCTACCTTATGCTCCCATCAGTCTATCAGCTTCATAGACTCAACTGCTAACCACCAAAGCAGAGACAGATGGGAAATAAAATAAAACACATATATATTCTGCTAGGCATAGACTTGTGCCTCAAATTCCCTAGAGGTGTAGTTAGCTCATGGTAATCCACCTCCTGTCATGCCTTATTGCTTAATTATAGTGATGTATTTAACTTATTTATCACAAGAAAGCAATAATCTTTCACTTTAAAAAATGTGTGTTAACTATGTTGCACACATAATAGATCACAAGAATATCTAGTAAAGGATTTAAGACTATCAACTAAGGCACATCGTTGATATCTAAATGTCCCCTGAGAAGTTCGAAAATGTCTATAAGCATATTTAAAATAAACTGCAATAGTACCAAAGCCTTTAATGGAGCTAGGAGAGCTGTTTTATGCACACTATCTTGCAGTAATCGCTGTAGTTTAAAATAGATTTTAATCAAGCACCATCTGCATAATAGGCTGAACAAACAACATAGCCAGGAGATCCCCATCTCTAAACTATAACTGCCAAAACCCTTCTGTGACAAGAGGATACCAACCGCAAACCTAACCCTACCTCAGGAAGCCTTTACACCCCCAACCAATCCTAGCTGAAGGAAACCCAGGATCCACCCTGCATACCATTAGCTTGCACAGGTAGTTAGCTTGGAAAGCCAAATCAACCCTGACCCAAAGCACAGCCCCAAAC